TCCCCTCCAGCGGGGCTGGGAGCTCCTGTGTTGGGACCTTGTGCACAATTTTTTTTTTTTTTTTTGCGGTACGCGGGCCTCTCACTGCTGTGGCCTCTCCCGTTGCGGAGCACAGGCTCCTGACGCGCAGGCTCAGCGGCCATGGCTCACGGGCCCAGCCGCTCCGTGGCATGTGGGATCTTCCCAGACCGGGGCACGAACCCGTGTCCCCTGCATCGGCAGGCGGACTCTCAACCACTGCGCCACCAGGGAAGCCCCTTTGTGCACAATTTTACCATAGCTTTTACCACACTGTATCGACATTTTGTATTTGTGTACCTTTTGTGGTTTTTTTCTGCTGTTTTGGGGTTTACTAGACTGCAGGCTTTCCAAGGGCAGTGTCAAGATTGTATTCACCGTTTTTTCCCTTGCACGCAGCCCAGCTTATGGCTGATCTCAATCAATGTCTATTGAATCCAACAGAATCTAATACTAGGACTATGCTGGAATATCCTGGACACAAGTCCTTGAATGACTGATAACTAGCTTAAACACCCCACCGTAATCTTATAACAGGCTTATAATATGAGAACTACTCAGGACCCCATCCTTCCTCACTCCCTCTGAGTCTGCACGATTCCACATACTTCCTGAGCTTTTTTACAACACTTCCCAATAAACTTTTTAAAAAATCTTTTTTCTGATCATTCAGCTTCTAATCAAAATGTATTAGCATCCAGTGCTGTCTAACTATACTTCATGCCAAAATTATTAAGCTCTCATATTTTTCTCTTCTAAGTTGAAAGGAATACACACTTATGGTAACAAAGCCAATCTGTATAAAAGGAATATATAGTTAAAAGGAAGGCTCCATTCTGTTGCTGACTCCCAGCCTCCCAGGTCCTCTTTATAGACACAGTCACTACTACCAACTTCTTTTGTATCCTTCCAGAGGTATCCTATGCTATTACAACACACTCCGTTGTTTTTTATTTTAATAAATTTATTTTACTTATTTTTATTTTTGGCTGCATTTGGTCTTCGTTGCTGTATGAGGGCTTTCTCTAGTTGCAGCAAGTAGGGGCTACTCTTCGTTGTGGTGCGCAGGCTTCTCATTGCGGTGGCTTCTCGTGTTGTGGTGCACGTGCTCTAGGCGCGTGGGCTTCAGTAGTCGTGGTGCATGGGCTTAGTTGCTCTGAGGCATGTGGGATCTTCCCAGACCAGGTCTCAAACCTGTGTCCCCTGCATTGACAGGCAGATTCTTAACCACTGTTCTACCAGGGAAGCCCTTACACACTCTGTTTTTTAAAACATAAATACTAGCATTCCACAGATTATTTGCAGCCTGGCTTTTTCCTTTAACAGATAGCTTGACTGTAACCTCATGAGAAAAGCCTTGAGGCGAAAGTACCCACCTAAGCCATTCCTGGATTCCTGACCAAAGAAACTGTGAGATAGCAAATTTTTGTTGCTGTAAACCGTTAAGCTTTGGGATAATTTGATATGCACCAATAGATAACTAATATACCTTCATCCTCTCCTCCTCTTTTTCCAGAGCTTCCCAAGTTACTTAGAGATATCTCTAGTAATGCTTTTAGAACACTACATCATACTTGTTTCTAAGTCTCTTTCCCCTACTTGACTATCTCCAAGGACAGGAATCCTGGCCCAGTTAGCTTTATATTTACCATGTCTTACGCAAAGTTCAAGCTAGAACATCATCACTTCCCTAGATTTTTGCAATAACCTCCAAACTGGGCTGCCCAAATCCCCTCTAGCCTCTCTCTGATCCATTCTCTACCCAGCCCTAAGAAATATTTTTAAAATGCAACTTGGGTTATTTGAGAGCTTAAAATCCTTCTCCTCATTCTTAGGATAAAGACCTAAATTTTTAATACAGCCTCCCAGGCCTGGCATGGTCTGCCTGCCCCATCACCACATATAAAGCCACTTCCGCTTTGTTCCCAGCACAACAGCAACACTGGTTTTTCATTTCCTCAGCTGAACCATGCCCCTTCCTCCCTCACTGTCTTTGCTCACACTGTTCCCTCTGCCTGGGATGTTTTTCCCCTCCTCCTCACTCAGTTTCTACTCATCCTTTAGATTCAATGTCATTTCCTCAGGGAATGCCTTTCTGCTTTCCATTCTAAATCAAAGACCCCTATAGTTTTCTTTCATACCACTTATCACAATTGAGATTAAGTGATTGTTTAATTAGGTGTTTAATATTTGTCTCCCCTGGTGGACTCTAAGCTCTGTTAGGGAGGGGACACCTTGTCTTGTTCACTACTTTATCCCCAGCACAGACCATAGTGCCTGACATATTGAAAATAAGGGCTCAATACTTTTTTTTTCTTTTTCTTTTTTGCTAAATGAAACACAGGACAAACATTTCCTATTCCTTCTTCAAATATTTTCATCATCTACACATTTAACCTTCTGAGTGTCATTCCTCTATGACAGTGTTATCTACCTTAGGTAATGACTTCTGAGAGGTAGAGATCACAGCTTTTAAGTTGTATCATATAGGACCCAGCAGAGTTCTCCTACTGAGGTGGGGATACAGCTTTGGGAAAGGAAAGAGAATAGGTTTACTTATTAACGGCCTTTTGTAGCTACTTTATTGCTGTTAATATCTCTTTGGCCTGTTGGGGGCAGTGTGAAGTTAAAAGAGCATGAGGCATGCAGTCCCACCCAGCTTTGGATCCCAGCTACAGTACTTAGTAGCTGTGTGACTGTGGGCAAATTACTCATGTTCTCTGTTCCTCAAATTCCTCAGCTATAAAATGAGGATATCATAATGGTACCGTTTTATGAGGTTGTTGGAGGGATTCTTGTAAATTCCTCTCCATGACTTGTAAAGCACTAAGAACAAGGACTGGCCTTAGCAAATGCTCAATAAATGTCAGCTACTATTTTTACCTGTGGTAAAACAAGGTTGCCCATTTCTCATTTGGTACTGGAAGAAGTTTGGGCATATTTGTGGTGCTGTGAAGTTCCCTGTGGGAGGTTAGGATTGGAACACTTAAAAGTATAATGCCTCCTCCTCAATTCTTTTCTCTACCTTTAAATCTTAATATTGAAGCCAGTGGGAGAAGGGAAAGAGGAGAAACAGCTGCCAGGTATTTTCTATTTTGTTCCAAATGACAGCAGCACCGGTTTGCACTTTCTCCTAGAAGTTTGTGTTTCTATTGTTCACACGTGCATCTTCATATGCCTATTGCCAGAGAGATGAGATAAGCTAAGCAAGAGCTACCATTTCAGATTCTTGACACCTGGTAGTTTGTGAATGCTGCTTTTTTGGAATCCAGAGAACCATCAAGCTCCCTTTCTTCCTCTTCTTATTGGGACCCTTCTGATTGATCAAAGCCTATGAAGTATTGGCTATTCAAGAGCCATAATAAAACAGTAATAAAATGATGAAGTCTGAACTGCAACAAGGAACTCACTCAAGCAAGGGCCCTCTGCTGCTGGGAACCAGAGAAAATATTTCTCCTAAGAAAAATGTAAGAAGGATACAAAAAAGTCAAACAGATAATCTTCCCTCAAGACACAGTGTTCTCTCAAGTCCCCGTCCTTCTTTTCTGAAGGAAGGCACACTCAATTCTGGGGCAGAAGCTAGGAAACGAGCCCGAGACAATTGGTTTTCCCCTCCCCTTTTAATCTCCTGAAAGAGCTGCCAATTCTAGAAATTCCTCCTTTGATCAGAAGATAAAGCAGAACAATGCTGTAGCACTAAGCAGATTCCTAAGGGACATTCTTCGAGAGTGTGTAAAGCCTGCCTGGAAGTGTGTGTACATGGGGGGGGAGGGGAGTTGGTGGAAAACCAGGAGTAGGAAGGGTGGGTGGAACAAGAGTTGGTAGCCACAGCCACAAGGAATAATCATATAGTTGCTTCTAGACTTCATAGAGTAGCAACTCCAGCCACTCTCATTTCCTGGGAGGCATAGGCATGTTTATTACAGTGATTAGAGGGCTTCATCCACTTCAAATCCTCCCTCCAAAAAAAAAAAAAAAAAAAAAAGACGAAAGAAAAATCGGATTTATATTCCACTACTTGCTGGAAGTGAGTTTTTACTTCTCTTACAGCTTTCTCACTTTTTTTTTTTTCTGTCGGAGAATTGCAGCCCATACTAGTCTATCACATTAGACTGGGAACCTCTGGAAGGAGCTGTTCTCTCACTGCTTAAGGGACAAAAATACTATGGATTAGAGTCAGAACTGAGTTTGAATCATGCCCCCAGCTTCACCATCTGTAAATGGGTTTAATTTTCCTATCTGCTTAACATGGTCATGTAATTTTTTTAATCTAACATTTGAGGGCTAAATACAAGCATAATCTCATTCAATGCTCATGAGGAAAGTGTTATTATGGAGATTGTATGTGAAGATATTTTGTAATGTAGAAAAGAGCAGTCTGGCTGTGAGTTATTATTAGGCCATCTTCTTCACCTGGCTGTTGTGAGGATTAGATGAGACACTGATGTGAAAGCACTTTAAACGATCCACGTGATGGGCGGACTACTAATTACACACCCCGCAGCACCTGATCCACTGTGAGGACTCGGTAAACGCTGGTTGGAGTGAACGATTTTATATCTTGCCTTTTCCCTTCAGTCCTCCAATCACAAACTAATGTCCTCGGGCCTGGGGCCAAAACCACGAATCTGGGAGCTGCAGCCCGGATGCAGGCGAGTGCAGAGTCCCAGGAGAGGGCACGGGAACAATAGAACAGTTCGGTGGTTGGAGCGGGGGGGGGGGACTTTGGACGCCGGGCCTGAGAGGTGGCCGACTGGGGTCCCCGGAGACCCCCTCCACTGTTCTGGGGCTGCACAGAGAGACGTCCTGAACCCGCACGGCACTTCTCCCGGGGAGCCGGAGTCACCCCCACACTCCCCCAGCTAGAGCCTCACGCGACGCGCCCAAGCCCCGCCCACTCCTCAGGTAGGCCGTCCACACCAGCCAATCCACAAGAAGCCTGGGCACGGAAGGCGGTGCTTAACCGGCCGGAAGTGACGTATCTGCTTGGCTGGCCGCAGAGTCCGCCGATGCTTTCGGCAGCAGCTGAGGCGGCTGAGTGGAAAATGGCTCGGACCGTGGCGGCTGTGGAGGCTTGGGTTGCGGTGGAGGCAGAGGCTCAGGCAGCGTGAGGTGAGGAGCGATAGGTGCGGCGGGGGCCGGAACCTGGGACCCTGCTCTGCAAATGCAGCGAAGGGCCCCGGGGTCTTGGGAGGGTCTCTTGCCGAGGCCCCCAGTCCCCCGAGTGCCCGCTTCTGATCCTCCGTCCCGTACTCTCGGCGCTGACCTAATCGACTTACCTCCCTCCGGGCCTTGTTTCCATCCAGGCCGTTGCCAGCTGCCCCTCCGAAGGTGCATGCGTCCCACCAGGACCCTCTCGTCGGGGGCGGAGGGCGTCGCGCCTGGGAGTTAGTTTTGTCCCAAGGGGGGAGGATAAGCCACCCCCTGGTTTTCGGGACCCGGCCGGAGCCGCGATAGCCGGTCCTACCCTCTGGTCGAATTGTTGGATTCTGGCGACTGTGTGTGCTGCACTTCTCAGCTGTGACCCGCATCCCCCCACCCGCGCTGCTTTTCTCCTCCTTGTCCCATCTCCGGCTTTGGGGGCGAACGATCCTTTTTCTCCAACCCCCCCCCCCCCCCCGTTCCCTTTTTTTTTTTTTGCCGCGAATCCTCTTGCTTCGGGGAAGACAGTATTATTTCAGTGTGTATTTAGTGCATCATCTTTCTGGGACGGCGGTCAGATTAAAAATATTTGCTTAACTCTTCCTGAATGACGGAGGAACAATAAATAATTGAAGGGAAAAAAGCGTATGCTTATTTTCCTCACTAAATGGTTTGGCTTTAAGAACGAGATTCTCCAGCTGTGGAATTTTTTCTGGGGGGAGCAGGGATTGAGGAGGGAAATGAGGAAGGAGAAAAGTAAGTGAGGAATAAAGTCTGGAGATACAGAACGTGGAAGAGAGAGCCTGTGGTAGTTCTTTCCCTATATTAGCCTGATGGAAGTTCAGGTTGTAATTATATTTTTATTTTGAACAGTGGGTGTTGAATTGGGTGTAAGGAAGGAGGCCTTTCTCTGTGAACAAGATTACTTCTTAGAGAGGTACCCTAAAATCTTTCCAGGTGGGTGTCAGGCAGAAAAGTTCTGTTGGGAAAATTGTGTAACATACTGGAGCAGCAAAGCCACAGATTAGAAGAGATGCAGAAAAAAGAAAGCTATTCTTAGAAGAGTGGTGAAGACGTAGTATAAAAAGAGGGACGGCCGTAGGGGGCTCCAGGAACACTGATTCCAGGAGAGACTTTGTACCTTTGCCTCCTTGGCTTGTGGTTAAGTTTCCACATAAGACACCTCTCAGCAACTCTGCCAGGGCTGGGGCTGATGCTCTTATTCGTGGTAGCAAATTAGACCGAAGTGCGTTGGTTGAGGTCTGTACCGTCGAAGATAACTGCTTGTTGAATATTACCAGTCTTTGAGTACTGAAAAGCATTTTGACTGAATTACTTAACTCAAACCTAATTCGTGAGTGATTTTACATAGGCTTGAAGTAATTTTGCCTAAATTAATAGATTCTAAAACAATTTTTTCTTACGAAAATCTCTGTTGTGATTTGTGTTCTGTATGCATTGTTGCTTGCAGTTTTTCTTGGCAAGCAATATAGTGTTTCCATCCATAGGTTTCACAACTTTTTCTATTTCACGGAATATAAAAGTTGGCATGCTTGCATTCTAGAAACTATAACTTTATGTAATTAGTTGTATGTTAAGCATATGATTCTTTGTTTTTCTCTTCTGTAAATGGTTCTAAAATTTTCAATTAATTGGATATTGCTGCATCAGTTTCCATGTCCAGGAATCCTTCTTTATCTAGCCCAATGTTTTTGCACTTAGTAAGCACATTAAATAAATGAACTTATACCTAACCAAGAGTATTGAATTTCCCAAGAGTTCAGAGTTCTTATCAGAGCATCAGAGCAAACTTTTCAGAGCAACAGGGTGAAGCACTTTTTTTTTTTAATGTTTTGTAACTTGTGTTTCTTTGATAATATAAATTATCCATTTTTATTGTATTTGCTGTATTCCAAAAATAATTTAAGACAGGTAAATGATAAAGGTGAATGTTTTAGTGCAGTTCATTCACACAGTACACGATGTGATTTGTTAGTTGTACCTGAGTAAGGCTAAGAATTGACCATATGGAAGATCTTGTTTTCAGAGGGCCTATAGGGGTGTCTGGTACAGCAGTGGTTCTAGTAATAGAAAAATGAATGAGATAGTGCTTGTCCCCAGTAAGTTCTCTAGTCCATCTGGGGGAGACAAACACAAATTATAACAGTATGGTTATAAGGGCATATAAGGGTTGTGGATCCAAAACACTAAAAAGGATGTGATCGCCTGGGCTGAGAGATGGAGAGGGAATGAGTGCATCTCATGAGGACAGAGATGCTCAAATTGAGTCTCAGAAGGTGAATTCCTTTTATTAATGAGGGCAGGATAGAGGTTATCAGCTTCCAGACCCTGCTACTGTTTAATACCTCTGGTACCTTGTTTTTTTCATTTGAGAGTTGGACTACATCTAAATCACTGATGTCCAGTAGAAATATTAAATGACAGCCACGTATGTAAGATATTGTACATTTTCTTGGTAAATCTTGAAATCTGGTGAACATTTTACACTTACAACATATCTTACTTTGGACTAGCTACTTGTCAAGCACTCAGTAGGTGTTTGTGGTTAGTACATACCATATTAGACAATGCAGATCTAGCATATGAAAATTCTGCTTTTCTGTCTTGGATTCCTGCTTGAAAAGGAAAAGCAACTCCTATGAGAAATGTATAAATGTAGTAATTTATAATTTCTAGTCATTTTGATAGCAGTCATACATGATGTTCTTTTGATTGGAATTATAGTCATGCTTGAAAACGATGTTGCTGTAGGAGATCTTTCAGGTTGTTCATAGGGTTTTGGTTGGGACTAGAAGAAACTTTGTTTTCCCTCTGTCTGGTACAGTCACATTTTGAAATATCTTTATTTTGTGTTTTTATATATACTTTGTATCTCTCCTTGTCTCTGCAGTCTGTTATTTATAACGTGATGGATTCAAAATACAGTGAGACAGTGCACATGGACATTTTAGGCAGTTAAAAATGGAGATTTGTACAATTTTAAACTACATTTTGGATTTCTTAAAATTTTTAATTCAGCTATTTGGGTACAGAAGTGAATGGGGTTTTTAAACACTCTTGATTTTAATAGATTAGAAGGCAGTTATTATTGGTTTAGCAGTGTATTTATCTTTTAACCTTGAGAATGAATTAAGATACTATAAAATGAACATCTCTACTGTTAAACATATGGCTTTCTGTTAGTCTTATAGTACAGAAGTTACATTATTGATAAATGATGTACAGTGCTGATTCACTTAATTTGTTGTGCATTGAGTTTGGTTTAAAAAAGAAAAACAGAGGCTTATTTTAGTCACGATAACTATGACTAACAATGATAAAGTGGGCTTCCCTGGTCACAGTGGTTCAGAATCCACCTGGCAATGCAGGGTACACGGGTTCAAGCCCTGGTCCAGGAAGATCCCACATGCTGTGGAGCAGCTAAGCCCATAAACCACAACTACTGAGCCTGTGCTCTAGAGACCGCGAGCCACAACTACTGAAGCCACAACTACTGAAGCCCACATACCTAGAGCCCGTGCTCTGCAACAAGAGAAGCCACTGCAATGAGAAGTCCAAGCACCGCAACCAAGAGTAGCCCCCGCTCGCTGCAACTAGAGAAAGCCTGCGCACAGCAACAAAGACCCAATGCAGCCAAAAATAAATAAAATTAAATTTAAAAAATTTTAAAAATGATAAATTATATCCTTACATTTGTATTGATTAATGATTATAGAGTAAGTAATGCTCCCCTCTCCCCCAAACCTTATTCTCTGAAATAAATGGGGCAGGTATTTTCTCATTTTCTTGAAGAGGAAAATGAGACCCAGTGAAGTTGTGACTTGTTTAGAATAATACATTAGAGGTATTGCTTGAATTTACAGTGTCTTACAATGCTAAGCCTAGAGTTCTTTTCATTGCATCTCTTCTATAGTACTTCAGTGTTTAGATACATAGCATTTAACAGATTTTGGAGTGTGTATTAATGGGTACTTCCTGCCTTTAAGGAATTTATATTCCAACTTGGAGAGACCAACTACAATACATATAGCAGAAAGTAATTTCGTTATTAAAAATTATTAATGGGAAAGAAAAAATGTAAGGGGTAGTATAGTTACATTTAAAATAGATGAGTTAACTAGGCAAGATGTTTGATTTTTGAGTAGAGGATTTAGATCTTAAACTGTTACTGTAGGAAGAAGGTGATGAAGTATTAAGGACAGAATTATTTCAGTGTACAGGGAACAACTTGGGGAAAAACTTAGATAAGAGAGAAAGTATAGCTTTAAGGAAGGATTTGCAAAGCTTATTTAAAAAGATAAAGGCAAGACAGAGGTGAAGTAGGAAATGAGAATAGACATCTGCAATATAAATTTAGAGGCCAGTGGTCAGAACTTTTATATTATTTGGATGATTCAGGAAATCTTAGCACGTGCTGTGAACTTGTTGAGGCTTGAGTAGTGTGGAAGACGTGGCTAAGAGTACGGAAAGAGAGGTTGTTGACTATAATGAGCAGTAGAGTAATGTGAGTTCCTGTTAAATGAGTAGGGATTTGATAAGAATTTTACTATGAGAAAAGAATAGGCAGTGTTCATAAAGGAAAATTGGTTAAAAATTTTGCAATATGGGTAACTCTAATTGAAACAGGTCATTTTTTAAAAGAGTATTTTCCTATAAAAACTGAAATTGCCAGTTTACTTTCAGAAAATACTAGTAGAAGCAGGAAGACATTAAGTATTGTTAAAGTTCTACTGTGGAATGTGGGGAAAAAGCAAAGGCAGCCCTTCTAGATAAAGGGGTGGGGAATATGAGAGGAGACAATAGAAGGAAATCAAAGGTAAGAGGTACTTACCTTCTGGTGAGGTGGGAAAAGAACATGGATGTTGATGGAAGAGATACGTGCACTTAAATACCTGCCTAATTAGGGAACAGGAAAACACTTTTTCAAATGTTTTATTTGCAGTTTTGGA